AATAAGTACTTAACATTTGTTGATATTTATTAAATATAATCCATGTTACACTTTCAAAACATCCAGGCCATGTTAAACTACCTAATTAGAAAAAAAAAAAGAAACCTAAAAAACAAAGACAACAAAAATATTTTTTCTATACCTTCATAAGTCATATATTCCGATGAAAAAGCCATTAATTCTTTTAAATTAAGATTATTTATTTCAATATCTGATGGTCTTTGAGTATTATTTAATAATTCAGCATGATGTAAAACATAACGTAATTGTGCTGAAGTATCACCACCTAACTTAAATCAATAAATAAATTTTTGCTTTCATTACATGTCGTTTATATATTTTTTTTTCTTACTTACCATTAACATACTAGATAGTATAACAATTCCTTTAGGTGATGTTTGTGCTTGTGCATAATCTTTATAAAGTTCTGTATTATAGGCGACAAGTTGAATCTAAATAAGAATTATTCAATCTGTTAATATTTATTAGATATATACTTCTCCATGAAATGATTGATTATCAATTTGATGTTCACTTCCGCGTGGCATTTCATCACCTATAGTTGGTGGTGATAAACGTATATAAATTTCGACAGGACGATATTCATATTGAAGTGGACCACCACCAATATGAATATTTGAATTTGAATGAAATGGAATTATTATATAAAGATTACGTCCATCATTACGAAGTATTCCATGTACCTATAGAAATATATTCTCTTTTTTTTTAAGGAGAAAAACAAATGATATGATAGTAAACAAACATTATCACTATTATTGATATAAATTGGTGTTAATTGATAATCAAAAATTAAATGACGACTTTCGATATTAATCGGTGATTGAAAACGACCAGCATCACAAATAGGAAAATAAAAACCCCATGATGCAGGACCACTAACACCATCAGAATAATCCCACCAATTCCATATTTCACGACGAACAAATGAAGCAGCATGTTCAATATTTATATCTTTATCAATTAATTAAATATATTATCAGAATAGAGATGAAAAACAATTTTTTTAATATTTACCTGAATTAATAATTACTATATAATATTGAACAATAATAAATAGTAACAAATATTTTAACATCATTTTTTTATTTTTGTTTTATTAATGCTGGTCACTGTATTTAATCAAATCAAACTGATCTATGATCGTGTTCAAACATCTTCATTTCAATTAGCATAGGCAATGAGCGAAACCACGACGGACGTTACCATCATCCTATCATATTCTCTTCTCTTATCATGTATCGTGTTTTTCTTTCTTTTCTATAATTCTAACAATATATAAATTCTTCGTCAATTTATGAACTGTCTCTCGCACTCTCTTTACACAAATTATAAACTGACATTTTGTGCCTTTCGGCTATTCTAATTGAATCCATGACCGAGACGATGATACTCATACTGTATTGACACGACTGATTGATACAGTTGTGTTTGACGTGCATGCTTTGATCTGCTATCATTTCTTTTTTGCTCTTTCTATCAATGATGATTAGTTCTATAAACTTTGTCAGTAAAGTGTTAGATTTTTAACTACTTCTTTCTATAATATATGAATGTTACATTTATGATTGTTGTATTTAAAGCATTTTTCGTCTTTTTGTTTTTTGTATAAGATATGACGTTGTTAGTAATGGATTAATCTAGTTGTTATATTTATTGCTTTTTTGATCTTCATGAGTTCAAATTAGATGTACATCGTGACTTGTGAAAAATGAACAATAGACATGTATATATGAGGAGAGAAGAAAAAAAAAAAAGAATGTCTATTCAATGAATTCAATTTCATGTGGAGATTGATTCGTTGTTATCAATTGATAATTGCTCAGTGATGATGATGAATAACCAATCATTAACGAATTTATCATTATTTTTGTTCTCCTATTTGTTGTTAACCAAACATTGATTATGTTAATGCTATTGATGATACTTATCTGTTTTGTACTAGAGTAACTAGTGGCAAAATTAGAAGATTGTGACGGCTGATGGAATAGTATCCGGCCTAGTGCCTATTTGACTACGACACTATGTTTATTGTATAAGATGATTTCAATAAGACTGAATGAATTTGTGTTTTTTTTTTTTTAACAAGAAAGCATCAAATATTTATTGATATTATAATAAATTTTCAAATATAAGAATAAATCTATCTATTATGAATATCTTTACAATGATATTTCATCTTTTTAATTATCAAAATAACTACGACATCTTTTTTTTTTTTTTCATTGTCAAAAAACATCTGAAAGAGACTGTTTATTTTTCGAAGTATTACCAATGTATTGTCACTTGCGTATTATTCTTCAGAATATTTATCATACGATTTTGTACCTTTTGATCAATACGATTTTCATGAAGACTAAGTGTAGTTAATGCCTATATACAATGAAAAAATATATGATAAAGAAAAAAAAAAAGAATTATACTCTTACTGTATTTCGTCTAAGAACATCGGCAAAATATTGTACACCATTATTACCAATTTGATTATGAGAAAGATAGAGTATAATTAGTGTCTGTATGAAAATGAGATATATATACTAAAAAAAACAACAACAACAACAAAGAAATACTCTGTTATTTTCAAGAGCCTGAGCAATACTTTGAGCACCAATATCACCAATATCATTCGAATAAAGATTGAGTGTAGTCAATGCCTATGTGAAATGATAAGTGTATGACAAAAGGGATAAACAAATTATTGTACTCTATTTTGTGTGAGAGCATCGGCAAGATATTGTGTTCCTTGATCACCAATTAGATTTTGAGAAAGGTGAATAGTATTCAATGTCTGTGTGAATTAAGAAGAATATGAGAAAAAAAATAATAATAATAAAAACCAAATATAATGAGATTACTGTATTATGTGATAGAGCATTAGCAAGATATCGTGCTCCTTGATCACCGATTTGATTTTGAGAAAGATGAAGAGTGAGAAGTGTCTGTGTGAAATTAACAAAAAAAAAACAAAAGAAAGTAATTAAGTATCAATAATACTCTATTTTGCTGTAACATATTAGCAAGATATTGAATTCCTTGATCACTAATATGATTTTGAGAGAGATCAAGTATAGTTAGTGTCTAGATAAAGAATAAGAAGTAAATGATAAAAACAATAATAGAAAAATGTTAATTTTACTGTGTTTTGTATAAGTGCAACAGCGAGAAAATTTATGCCATAATCAGTTATTTGATTTTTATGTAAGTAAAGCGCAATTAGTGTCTGTATGTGTATATATAGAAAGATGTTTGATAAAGAAGAAAATAATGCGAGAATATTATTACATTATTTTGTTTGAGAACGTCAGCAAGATATCGTATCCCTTGATCATTGATTTGACATTGAGACAGATGAAGTTTTATAAGTCTCTATATGAAAAAAAAAGTTATAAGCATAATACTTGCAGGATTAAAATGTGAAACACGATACGGCTACTGTTTTATAACAAGACGTTATTGATATATAGTTTGTGATAGTCTTTCACTAGTGTCTAGTGGCGGCGCCATAAGGAGGCTGAACTTTCGGGAAATTCTTAAAGCTGTTGCTAAAAGTGGTTCCACAGAAGGATCAGCTATCTTGACCAAAACTCCTGCTGCCACCGCTACTAATGCTCAGTTCAAACAAGATACGGATAGATATTTTTGAAATGGAAATACGATAGAGCGCTGCAGTTTTCACTATTGAAAAGAGAAGATGAAGTTACATCGAATCACATATTATAGGTTTTCTTAATCAAATTCATAAAAAATCTGTCGAAAAAAAAATGGTTCGTTTTAACATAAGAAAAACAGCAATTGCTTGAAAAATCAGTCGAGACCCTAGTGAAAGTACTCGTCAAGCGAGTACGACTTGCCAGCATGAGTACTCGAACTACTCGTCAGAGTACTCAAGGAATTTCGTGTGTGATTAAAATTTTCGAGTACTCGAGATAGTACTTGTATGAGTTGTTTCTCTAAGATTTACACGTAGACGAACTGATGAGTTCTCACTGTAGTACTCATCGCTGTTTTTAGAAACCTATAAGGCGAAACTACTAATGCACTTGCAGGCAGAAAATAAAACAAAGTTGTGTACAAAAGAAAAATGGAAAAGAACTGTTTTTGCGATTCGCCTATTATATATTCCGGTCTTTGACCGATGACTCATTTTTACCATTTTAATGAATGGTTGTTCAACGAACAGAAAAAAGGACTTCTCATTTTAAGCTGTTCATTTCTTAAGTAAGATTAGTTATATGTGAATAAATATATAAACAACTATTCGTGCAATTTGATTTTCTAAATTTTTTAGATGGAAAATTTTTTCAAATTATTAAACAAAATTTCGTAATGATATGAAAAATTAATTATATAAATAATAGTTAAAGACTTTTGATAAAATAAAATCGAAGTTGAATATTCTGAAGGTTCACGTGCGCTATTACTGACAGTAAATTAATTTTTACTAATTTTTTTTTTTGTATATTACTGAAGTATAAGTTTAGCTATGTGTTTCAAAATATTAATTTATTTTCTTCGTAATAAACTTTAATATGCACTTATTTGCTATCTTAAGTGTGTTTTTCATATTCGTGAATAATTTAAAAAATCGATTTCTTTTT